TTGTGGTTGTTGTTGTTGTTGTTGTTGTCCGAGCGTGTCCGGATGCGGGCCGGGCGATCCGATCCGGGGTGTCCGGATCCGGGCGTTTCCCGTTCCGGGTCCGGCCGTTCCGGGTTTGGGCCCGGGTGTTCCGGATGCGTGTCTCGGATTTCCGCGTTGGGGGGATCCCGGGTGTCTAAGGACGAGAATAGCGATAGTATGCAATGTCGGAATACGACGTGACACGAAAGGCCCAAGGCCCAAGGCCTTCTCGCTTTCCACTTGTGCATTTGCACATCTGGTCGCTGTAGCTGAGGCTTGAAGAGCACTGGTTCTTTCTCTGAGAAAGAAGCGAAAACGATCATTGTCCAGATTCTGTGGCTTGGCTAGCTTCACGTTTACGGAACGGAATCACAGAGACCTGCAGCCTACGCGGATGTCAATGCCTCCTCAAGTTCAACACAAATCGCGCCCACGGAAGCTCAGGACAGGCCTACGGTATCTGAATAGCGCCGGTCGAAAGATCATCCATTACGACATCAAGCCCTCTAATGTGTTCTATCATGCTGGGCAGGTTGGGGCACTTGTCAAGTCAAGCTACTCCGGCCACTCCCACAGAAATGCATGCTTGCCTTTCAAGAGGTCAAAATCTGTGATTTCGGGCTCTCCAAGATGGCAAACCATAGCTTGGTCCTGAGTGATGAAGATCAGCGGTGCAAACTTTTCGTCCACACGGGAGCTGGCCTCGTTGAGCTTGCTGTCTGGGTTAGCATACTGGAGGCAGCCATTGCTCAAGGTAGCACAGGGATTGGCACAACATCTGATTTGACGTTGATGCAGGCAGCATCTGACTCTCGTACTTCAGGCACGGAAGGAATAATCGAGCTCTCCACACGCGGTGCTGGCACCTCGTGGTATCTTCCCCCCGAGTGTTCCTTGGAAGCGAAGAGTACCAGGAAAGATCCTGGATAGGGTGCTGTCTTGTGCGGCTGCCATATGAAGAGAGTGAGCCACCCAGGCCATGAGACAGCATCGCCGACGATCAGCAGTGCCTAGACCGATCTCAAAGGTAAACCTGAGCCACCAAGTTCTTCATGCCCGAGAAAGTGCGTCGTAGATTCATAGGCCATGGACATCCTAGCCCACTTTGCACTTCTGCCAATCGCGGTTGTTTCCAATTCGGAGAACAGGCAACAGGCAGCTTCCAGGTTAGGTTTTGATCGGAGTCTGGAGCAGACAGGCCTGTTCCTGCAGAGACTGATGTGGTCCTCCTCCACTGCACCTGCCGAGGTAAGGTGGATGTGATGGTCTCAGCGGTTCACACTTCTTATGCTCAGTTCCTTGAGTGGTTGGCATCTCCCACTTGCGTCTGCAGCAGCCAATCCTGAGAAGATCATCACATATTGACGTCCACCTGCTTCTTCGGCAGTAGCACGTGCAGCCAATAGTGGAGGGCATGAGGTACGACTGTCACTCGACTCGTTCCAATGCTCCTGCTCCCTAGGTGTGGAGCACAGGAGTCGTTTTCTTTGATCCTGGGCTGCAAGTGGCCAGAGCAGCCGAACCTGGCTTTCTTAACGGGTCAAGCCTGCCGTCCCAGTGATCTGCCCTGAGATTTCCATGCTTTGCTTTAGGAGCTCCTTTTCAATCGCCGGCCTTTCGGTGATGGTCAGAGCCAGGAGAGCTACACAGTGGTCCATCCCAGCTCAAAGCTCAAAACGAAGCATTATGCTGGTAGGACGCTTTTCGCCGGTCTGCGGGCATTGAAGACACCTTCGAGCTGGCCCGGACTTGCACTGTAGCATAATCTCGCCATGTCTGTATCAAGGGGCTTCCGGCGTAGGACGTATTGAACTGTCACGAGGTAGAATTGTGGACGAAGCGGTCGCGGTAGTGCCAAGCAACATCGCCTGCTTGAAAACCCGGCCGTGAGAAAACCTTTACAGCACAATGAAACATAGCCAACAAGAAGATGGGCCGCCAGACCTGTCTTCGGCCTAGACGGGTGTACGAAATATCGACCCTTATTCAGCGCAGGTCATTCCGACGTCTCCGAAGGTTTCAAACGAAGCAAAGGAGTTCCTACGATCCTTGGACCTGAGTTTGTTCTGTTGTTCTACCGGGTCCCGCCTGCCCGTTTGCCCATAGGCGGGGGTGTAGTTATGGCTCACCGCACCTGGTAGGGATTTCCGAGTTCCTTCCAGTTTACACCACGCATCTCCAGACATGGCCATGCAAGGTCGAATTCTGACGCGGGACCGTGATCAACGACCTGACGTCCTGGAAGTCCTCCAGGATCCTTACATCCGCAAAATGGCAGCACTGGACCGTTTTTGGAGCGGAGCCTTGTTGCTTCAACCCTGGCCCTCTGCACAACTCACTGTACCCATCCTCTTGCATCTCGAGGTCGAGAGTGTGAGAGAGAGAGAGAGAAGAGAGTTAACAGAATCCCTCCACACCCAAGGGGGCAAAGTGGGACCACAAAGACATGGATCCGATTGCAGCTCAGACAAGCAGGGCAAACCTCATAGAGACCCCAGTGTCGTCCACTCTATAAACCAAGCGAAGACGGGCGGGCTAAATGTCTGCAGGTCGGCGACGACCCGCAAGCCCGGCAGAAAGACAGAACGAGAGTTACTATAGAAGCCTAAATAATTGCCTATATTGTTCCTTAGGGTTTCTTAGCAGCATATATAAGCAGAATTATACATCTCCTGAAGCTGAGGCAAGGGTTTGACCGACGTGGCCGGCAAGAAAAGGTGATGTCTTGGAGAAGCGTGACTTCCTGCTCGGCGAATGGTGCCTAGGAGCAAATGATGGCATAGCTTAAGCTTGGTCCAACAAGGGTGGTATCGAACTTGACGTCCGCAAACTATTAACTAATACGTCCCAAAACAAAGCATGCACTTCCGCAACCCATTCCGACGTGTCCTCGAATCTTCCAGCCACATCTGCGAGCTGTTACCCAGCCTGCAAAACTCTAGTTCGCTCATTGTTGCAATATCTGGCAGATTCTGGCAGCCTTTACGAACCAACATCTAAAGTTCATACTCTGGCACCTTGCAGGTGCATGCGGTTGTTGTAAAATGTGGTTATCTGACCTGTGAGAGGTGTGTGGCGTACAGATGGCACGTAGACTCAACAAGGACTCGGAAGGTCCATCAGTTGTGCGGGATGTCAGCCCACTTGGCGTCCGCTCATGCATTGCGAGTTCCAGCTTCTGCCATTCTCAGCCGTTTGTACAGCTACGTGGGAAACAGCGGGGCTTGACTATGTCACAAAGACTTGGGCAAGGCCTGTGCGGCTTGGTCCGACAAGCAAGGCTAAATGCAAGAACTTCTGCGCGTACCTTCAGTCGAAGGCCTGGTGCTTATGTATTCCAAACACGAAAATGTTCACCCCGGGTCCCTGCATTCCCATGCGAGCGGCACCTAGCATGTTTCTGGCAGAAGATAGTGGACTCTGATACAGGACGAAAAGTGCTTCACCGACCTGCGTTCATCACAGGATCCTCTGATGCTAACATCGCCATTCAGGTGATTCAGATGACAGCCTCAATGTCCACGATAGATTCTGAGAACTTATCCAACCATGGTGCAGCTAGATCTGGCAAACTTTAGCATCGGAGCTGCAGACTCCAAGCCTCTCGGGTTCCAGCGAGCTGGTTTGACAATTCTTTGTTGTCTGCCGTTTCACAGTGGGTTTTGTTATGTCTTGTTTATTTCAGTATACGACGCAGCATGCTTCCAAGAAAGATGAGGGAAGCGGCTGGAAATGTACGAAGGGTACCTGGGTGTGCCGCATGCAAAACGCGGCTGTTTGACGCATGTTGATCCCTGTGGCATTGTGGTGGTCAATGACCATCGCACCTCAGAGGTTCCGCCTCATCGGGCATGTCACAGGCCGTCCGCCCATCCCGACGGCGTTTCTGTCAGGGCAGTCTGCTCGGGTCATGCTTTACTGCTGCCCCGAGCAGATCTTGATGTGTGGCCCTGCTGAACTTTGTGGAAAGTTTGCAAGCTGCCTGCGCAATTGCCCGCAGATAACGAGAACATGTCTTTAGAAGCTGTGTCAAGCTGGATGAAAGCCAACGAAGTCAAAGTTCCGCACTGGCACTGACACTAGCTGATGGCTGCGGCTGGATGTCGCCGCAAATGCTACATCACCTTCCAGCACGCACACACAGACCGATCAACATATATATATATATATATGATATATCGGGCCCTCCGGGGCTGCACTCATTCTCCCCGAGTCCGGCAGGCATTCACACTCAGCATACCGCGACATGTGGATTGCTGGTTTACCGCCAAAACAGAATGGAAGTTCCTTCAGTAGACAGACCGCAAACATCCCAGTCTGCGAGAAGCAACAGCGGGTAACAGAAGCCTTTCCAGTAACAGTACTAGTTACTAGTGCCTCTTCCGGATAAGCAACTCCAGCAGCCTACAACACTACGTCACTACGTTGTAATTTCTTCTGCTGCTGCTGATGCTGCCGCTGTCGCTGTGGGAGTTGCTGCTGCTGTTGTTGTTGTTGGTGGTGGTGGTGTTATTGTTCTTGCTATTGTTCGTGTTCTTGTTCTTGTTGTTGTTGTTGTTGTTGTTGTTGTTGCTGGTTGTGGTTGTGGTTGCGGTTATTGTTGTCTTTGGTGCTGGCACTGGTGTTGGTGCCGGTGCTGTTGCTGTTGCTGTTGTTGTTGTTGTTGCTATTGTTGTTGTTGCTATTGTTGTTGTTGCTGCTGTTGTTTTTGCTGCTGTGGTTGTTGTGGTTGTTGTTAATGTTGTGGTTTTTGTGGTTGTGGATGTGGTTGTGGTTGTGGTTGTGGTTGTGGTTGTTGTTGTTGTTGTTGTTGTTGTTGTTGTTGTTGTTGTTGCTGTTGTTGCTATTGTTGCTGTTGTTGTTGTTGTTGCTGTTGCTGTTGTTGTTTGTTGTCGTTGTTTTTGTTGTTGCTGCCGCTGCTGCTGTTGCTGTTGTTGTTGTTGTTAGTGGTGGTGGCGGTGTTGTCGTTGTCGTTGTTGGTGTTGTTCACTGTTGTTGGTGCTTGCTGCTGCTGGGTGTGGGGCGGCGGTGGTGGCGGTCATGTTTCTTTCTTTGTGGTGTTGTTGTTATTGTTATTGTCGCGGTTCTTGTTGTCTTGTTCTTACTGGAATTGGTGATTTTACTGTTGCTGTCACTTCTGCTGGTGTTGCTGTTGCTGCTGTTGCTGTTGCTGTTGTTGCTGCGGCTGTGGTCGTGGTTATGCTTCTGATTCTAGCAGTGCTGAAGTTCTTGTTGGTGGTGCTGCTGTTGTTGTTGCTGTTCCTTGCTGTTTCAGCAACAGGTCTTAGACTTTTAGAGTTGAGTCCTTCTTTGGTTTCTTGTTAAGCCGCTCCACCCCCCGCCGAGGAACATGGTTGGGTGTATGCCTCAGCAAGTGTCAAAACTGTTCAAAACTCCTCGGGTGTCTCAAGACTGTTGCACGAAACACGCCTGGTCCGTCTTGCTGCGTGAGTCGAACGCAGCCAGCGAAAACTTTCCATGATTTGCGAAATTTTGCGGATCCTAAACACATCTACAATGTACTACAAATAATTTTATGAGCGCTGTGCCCGCCCTGTCCAGCACCCGAAGTTGCTCGCATCCATCAGCAGCTGGCCCCGATAACAACGACTCTTCTTCTCTCTGGGAGGCGGTCCAAAGTTCGCATCGTGGGACATCACTCCTCCTTAACTGATGGGTTTGTGGTACGTGGAGGATTGCTTCGCGTATTTAGGTTTAAACGATTCGTGGCATGGGAGGCACAACCGAAAGAAGTTATCTGTGTGGCTGGTCGCACTGCAGCAGTGCTGGTATTCACATTTTAGCATCACGGACTAGCAGAGCTGGGCAATGCCAGCATGACCTGTCTTGGGCTGTCTGGCATGGCACGATTGACCTTTATGCTGGCAGTGGCAGCTGGTCAGATTCGTTACGAAGGGTTACTACTAGCACAATCGCCGCTGCAGACAGCCCCTGTTTAACAGGACTTAGAAGCAGCAAAATGTTGTGCTGAAGTTGCCAGAAAGGATGTCACTTCCTTCGTGCTTCTGGAGTGAAGCTTGTCGCGCAAGGGTGAGTTCTTTCGGTCTTTGCATTATGGATGTGTTTGTCAAGGCTCAAGTTGCCCAACACGCGAGCCTCAGCTTCCTGCCATGGGGTGTGCACCGTCGACTGTTCAAGACGACTTTGCGCACTTCTCAGCTTGCTACCATCAAGCATTGCTGTGCGACGGCTAGGTTCTGCAAAAAAAAGGTGAGAGGTGTAGCTGTTGGTGCTGGCCGCGATAGCTCTTGCAAGACTTCTCGTCCAGCATGAGCCGATAAACTTTGCCCCTCATGGTCTCTTGTGTACAGGGGAAATCTGTCAAGCTGTGCAGGAATACGTTGCCACTTCTGGCGTCACGAAGACGGAGCAGGTCAGCGCCTCCGCCGAGGCCAAGGGGCTAAGCTGCGTAAAGCGCTAAGAACCTCATGGACCATCTTTGTAAGAGGACATTTAGTATATGGGGCCGCAATAAGTAGAATGGGGTTTTGGGCTCCTTGTTTCTTGCAGCTGCGGAAGACACGAATACAAAGCAGGTTCATGGAATCGCCAGCAGCTTTCTCCCGTGCAGACTTGCTTCTCGTGGCGCAGTTCCACGAACCATGCGAAGAATGAATTCTCAGTAGCCCAAACGCAGGGAACTCAATTGCACCCAGTGCCGGTGCCATTCTCCGGATATCGCTTCCACTGCGTTGTTGTTGTTGCTGCTTGCAGAGTTTCTTTTTGTCCGACTAACCTGTCGGTGCATGGGACACGTGGTTCTTTGCTGATGTCTAGAAGGCAGCCTAGCATTTGCGGCTTGAGTTTTGTCTCTGATCAGTGTATGCACACCTTCGTTGCGCTCACTGCCCGCTGGAGGTTTCCGAACGGCTGGAAGATGCCATTAGTACGTCGCTCGGCAAATATTGGTCCCAGCTGCCCGAGGGCACAACCTTGTTCATGGAGCCGTCCACAAGGGGGTCGAAGGCGAAGTTGCGCACAGGATTGTGCATCAGATGTCCGAACCTTCTGTGCCCTTCCTTCCTTTAACTGAGCTCCTCATGTGACGTCTATCAGGGAAGCCGGTGATGAGGAGGACAACGACATCCAGGACCAGGCTGAGCTGCACAGTTCTTCGTGCTCGCCATCCTTCTAGAGTGTGAGAAATCAGAGTTTGTCAGGAATCGCTGGATTGTAATTTTCGCGCATGTTGTAATGCCCTTTACTGAGGTGCACTGCATAGACTAGGCAGGTCTCGAAAAGAGATCAGGCAGTCAAAGTGAAATGTTCCCCCGTGCACTGAAGTGCTGCCCTTTGCTGTCATGCTTCTTGCCGTTGAGTGTTCTAGGCTTCAGCAAAACAAGAAAAACCATGACAGGCCAGGATCGAGGTGGTCATCCCGGAGCACCTGAAGACAATTTTATTTGGTCATGCCACGCGCTTAGTGTTCATGTCCGTAAGGATAGGTAGGGGCGTATTCTTTTCGTCATTGCAGCCGCAGGTCGTGGATGGGCCAGCAGCTTTCGAGGAGGCTCGTTGGATGAGAAAGTTCTTGCCTTCTAAATATGCCAGTTTGTAGATGCTTGTATTTATTGGCTTTCGTTCATTGTCCTTACGCAGCGACACTGCGGGATTCGGCTGTCGTCACACCCAACTCCTGCCTGTGGCCGGGATATGCCAACTGTCTCTGGCGACCCTGCAGGGAACATCATCTTGGAGCGTGCATGCAGCATGGAACCGTGTTAGAACCTCAGTTCAGCCGGGCGTTTGGTTTGGATAGTTACATTTCAGCGAACGACTGCGCATTCAGAGGCATGCTCATGCGGACAGAAGGTTGTGAAGGCTGTAGGAAGTGGTTGAATGCCGGGGACGTGAAGTTCAGTTCCTGCTCCTGTGGAATCTGCAAGAGTTCATGTTGACAGACTGCAGCCGTGAGGCGAGAGGCGTCCCAAAACACATCGCGCTGAAGCCAGATCGAGACATGCACGACAAACACGTCGATTCCTCAGGTTCGTCGTGGTCAAAGTTGTGGTTCAACTTCTTAGGCTGAATCTTGGGGTCTCCAGTCCGTGGTGTCCACCTGGATCTTTGTTCAGGCCTTGTTAGGATGTCCAAGCACTCGTATAAATGCAGCCGTAGCGTTGAGTTCTTGACCATATTTACCTGCTGAACGAAGCGATGACTCTGAGGTGCAACGGGTCGACCTTTTCCGGGTTTCCGTCGAGCGCCACCCGGACCGCCTCGCTGACATGGTGGACACAAGGACAGAACAGAGTAGATGCAAAGTAAACGGACGATGGTGCTTCAGGAGCGGTTTTTCGTGTTGCAGCGTGGAAGGGACCAGGAAGCACGTCAAACAAGGTTGAACGAGCACAGGTAGTGAGATTCACAGCGCACAGGCAACATTCGGGCCTGGCCGCCAGGAGAGCCAGCATCACTCAGCGAACTGCGAGACACGACAGCAAGTTCGACCGAGAGGCTTCCATCCATGACCGGAGGCTCCAGGTGTTGATGGCAGCCTTGCGACTTTGTAACAAGGCACCTGCCCAGGTCCGCTCAAGAAGCAAAAGGAGTGTCTCTTTTGAATTTTAAGCATCCTGTTCCATGCAGCCCATTCGGTTGTTGTGGCTCTTGCCCAGAGTTCTCTTCAACTCAAGCCTTTTCAATCGTGTCGTTCCTTTCGATGCCTTGCAACTGTTCCTGTTGGACTTCAGTGTTCACAGCTTTGAAGCAGGCGCTCTTGAAGTCTATTTGCCGGGCATCGAACGGAAGTCAGATTTAAGTTTAGTGTTTGATCCTAGCGAGTTTGTTCTCGTGTTCCGGGACTGCGGTCAAGGTCCAGCAAGTCGAAGAGGAGATAGACCGTGTAGACTTGCGCGGGAATCTCGCAGCGTTGCTCCTGCTTCTGGTGGCTTTCATGAAACAGCTAGCAACCTACTAGATGACCAACGGAATTTACGACAACAAGATTCGTGATGTCGCAAGTTGCTCGATCACACCATATGGCGATAGAAGGCATGCCGGATTACATTATAGGTTTCCTTTGGTCGACGACTGAGGTAAATAGGACCATTCAGCGACAGCCTTTGAAGATCCTGCGAAGACCACATGTCAGCCGCCCAGACGCGAGACCTCAGCACCGAACTGGCCTGCTTTTTCCCCCACAAGAACCCGAGTGCAAGTTGCCTGGATGGCCGTCAGCTCTTGCTCAGTTCGGAGAACGGGCGACGGCACTGACGAAATGAAGCCATTGCAATACCACATACCCCACAGATAATGGCAGTGACAAGTTCAGTTGAAAGGAGCGACTCTTTGAAGGGACAGACTCTCGGAGCTGGTTTGGGATATGCTGTCCAGTGCATGCACGCAAATTTGCTTCCGGCAACCGTCCAAAGCCAGCGCCACTGGCATGCTTTCTTTTGGTAGTCTATGCCTGGCTGGCGTCACCCCCGAGCATTCAGATGTATCGAGCACGTTATCATTTCCAAGGGTCATGTGTGCAAGCTCCGTCTCTCTGTTCCTGAAGGCTACGTCTCGGCAGCCTACTTATCAATATGTGTCTCCAATGTGCCCTCTGCTGCGCATCGTGCGATTTGCGCAGTGAATTGTTGCGGTCCCTTGTCCGCTCGAATGGGAGCTTCAAGACTTTACCCGAAGCAGTAGGATTCATTGTATGAAAGGGCTCCCACAGGACTCCTCAGAATCAGCTAGATGCTTTCAGAAAACCCCATGTATCTTTGCTTCCGACTTGCCTGAGCATTTGTGCAGGCTGCCAACTTTTGTTGAAATGAATCTTCAGTCTGGAACCTTGCCTTCTGATGCGAAGGCAAGATTCTTCCAGCGCCTTGATTCGGCAACTTGTGTGGTTGCTTCCAATGATTTTCTCCAAGCTCACAAGAGCACGAGCGCTCACACAACGTACATGGAACAAAATTTCACAGGCTCTCTGGATAGATTAAGTTTGACTTGTTGCCCGAAACTCGAGAGCACGAGCAAAACAAAGCTATATCTCAAACTAAAACCTGAAAGGTATAATACTGTCTGTGTTTCCAAATGTATATGTACGTCTGCAGTAGATTTTTCAGGCATTACTGTATATTGTGGGCAAGTTCGTTGGGGATCTAGCGGAGAAGAACATAAGTTTTATTAATTTGGAATTCATATTTTTAAGTTATAGGTATTTAAACAAATAAGTCATCGATATAATCTTTATTTACATCATAAAATGTTTCTGGTTATTTTCGAAATTGTTAAATACTAAAAATAGTAGCTAGGGTCTGGTTTTGCGATTTGGGGTTTAGTTTAAGTTTTTGCTTAAGGCCAGACGTTATAAGGTTTCGGACCTATAAGTATTTAATAAGGATTTGAGGTATAGATTGATTGGTTAATTATTTAAATTTTGATTCAAATTTAGAGAGTTTAGAAAATAAATAAAATTGAGAATAAATTAATAATCTAAATTTTTACTTAAATTTATAGAATTTAGAAGAAGAATAAAATTAAAAAAATTAAAATTTTAAAAAGATTAATATAGATATTTTTTATTTGAAAAAAATAAAAATATATTATTAATATAAAATCGTTCTTTTTTACTATTGGATAATACAATCTTATTTATATTCTTGATTTTGTTTAGCATTTTATTAGAAACGTCTGATATTAATTGGTCGGCCGGGGATCTACGATATATAAAGGCGTGTTTTTATATGGAGGCGGACGTAGAGGGCGATGGGCGGAGTCTATTAATAAATGCAAGAGATTTTATAACAGTGCGCAAGCTCAGCAGCTGCGAAGAAATAGTGGACTTGGAGAGAGCAGAAATTTCTAATTTGTATATTTTCAAAATATTTATAAGAATGGAATTTTTTGTATTTGTGATTGGATGCGGTACGTTTAGGAATAATTTCTAGTATTCTTAGGGCCGCGTATAGGAAGTTTATAAATTATAAAAATCTTTTTTATTATTTATCCTTAGGAGTAATTGATTGCATTTGAAATATCGCTACGACTATAGTATTCTCAGCATATTATATCCTTTTCTCGGCTGTATTAAAGGTCCCTGCTGACGGAGCAGAGTCTATCTAGATAAGGAAATTAATTCTTGGATAAATTTTAATTCTTAATACTGGCTCAGCTGAACTTTTTTTATTTTGAAAAGATTGTCTTGATTGATGGCAAGATAGATATTTTAGGATTCATTCTATTGCTGTCCGGGAGCTCTTCACTGGATTCTTCTGGAATAAATCGGAGTAAAATTCATATTTCTTCTGCTATAAAATCTGGAGCTATGAATATTAAATCTGGTGCATAATTATGATTTTTTTTTATTATTTTTTATTAGAACGAGCTCCGGAGTAGCTATTCTATTTCAACCAGCACTCAGAATCTTTACTTTAACCTACCAGAGCCCATTTTTTCGTAAGTTTTTATTATGAATACTAATATGGGATTTATAGGGTCCGTATAAAGAATCGGCTCTTGAGAATTAAAGCAAGATACGATCAATAAATATATATACGACTCAAATAGATGTATTTCCATAATCTGGATATATACATATATACTCACAACAAGCGCATATATGCACTCATACACCTCCGTGCGTCGGCATACAGCCATGCAAAGGTGCAAGCACGCCCTTTATGGAGATATATAAATACGAGTGCATGGTGGAGACACTTATATTATGAATTTCATACCAGAATGAAATTTATAAGATATAATATTTGCATTGCTTCTACAATTGATTGCCTTTTCCCGTGCACCACTATGGCCGGGAGGGACATCAGGAAATAGGTCCGGGGCCGGTTAGTTGTGGAGAGGCAGGCGGTTGGGAAAGGCAGGGAGATGGGTTGCTTCGAAGGCAGCGCCGAGGAGGTCGCTCAGCTCGACCGGGTCAATAAGTCCATCGAGCTCAATTGCAAGGATTAAACAGAAGCCGGCATCGTCTGGCACGGAAGAATTCGGGACATGACCGGGCCGTGGATTTGCGAGCCATGCGCAGGGATGCACAGGGCACTTCGTGCGACTCACCTTCCCTGTCTTTCTAGGTACCCGTGCTCGCCGAGCTCAGGGCGAGTGCACATACGGGAGCAACGCATCGAGTCATGGAAGTCATCTATATCCACATATGGAGGGCGGAGAGGATCGCATTTATATGATAGATATACGATTTTATTTATATATTTTTCATAAAGCCGTTCATTACCCCCCTCCTAACTACCCCTCTCTTTATAGTATTTTAAACAAAGAGCTTTAGTAAGCTACTATTCCGGGTCGACTAAAACAACGAAATAAGGCTGGAATAAGCAATTCCCTGCCTTATTTCGTGTCTTACTATGGAGGCACGCTATGTTGAAGCCGGAAGCATGAACATGTTCTGGACCCAAAATCGCGCCCTCGAAACCACCAGCTTTGCACGCGTGCCGATACGTACTTGGTGGGACCCGGTGGGTCCGAGCTCCTCTCTACGGTGGGAC